AAAATCAAAGTTTCATCTTTTTGTTTGTTTGTTTGCTTTTTTTCGATTGATTTGGCGGTAATGTTGCAGCTTGTGGTGGTTGTGGATGATGAAGATAGAGAGAATGAAGGGGATTTGGTAATGGCTGCTCAGTTAGCTACACCTGAGGCTATGGCTTTTATTGTGAAACATGGAACTGGGATAGTTTGTGTGAGCATGAAAGAAGATGATCTCGAGAGATTGCACCTTCCTCTAATGGTGAATCAGAAGGAGAACGAGGAAAAGCTCTGCACTGCATTCACAGTGACTGTGGTATGTATTATTCTCTGAATAAGGCTTCGATCTTGGCGCTGGATTTTGAAGAATTTGTTGCTCATTTTTTCTTTATATTTATAGGATGCAAAACATGGTACAACAACAGGAGTATCAGCTCGTGACAGGGCAGCAACGATACTGTCCCTAGCATCGAGAGATTCAAAGCCCGAGGATTTCAACCGCCCGGGGCATATCTTTCCGCTGAAGTACCGAGAAGGCGGGGTTTTGAAAAGGGCTGGACACACTGAAGCATCTGTTGATCTTACTGTTTTAGCTGGACTAGATCCTGTTGGAGTATTGTGTGAAATTGTTGATGATGATGGTTCCATGGCTAGATTACCAAAGCTTCGTGAATTTGCAGCTGAGAATAACCTGAAGATTGTTTCCATTGCAGATTTGATCAGGTTAGACACTTTAAATTCTCAAAGCTTTGTGTCTCCTTCCATAGATCTACTTGTTTTGAAGCTAAAAATCTAACTTTTTTTCTAAATGACAGATATCGAAGGAAGAGAGATAAGCTAGTGGAACGTTCTTCTGCAGCTCGGATCCCGACAATGTGGGGACCTTTCACAGCTTATTGCTACAAGTCCATACTAGACGGAATAGAGCACATTGCAATGGTTAAGGTTAGAACAGTGCTTAAAAAACATCTCTTGTTGATTTTATACTTCAGAACATCCGAGGAGTTAGCCAAACCCCATTTGTCTGAAATTGTGGCAGGGTGAGATTGGTGACGGTCAAGACATTCTCGTGAGGGTTCATTCAGAATGTCTCACGGGTGACATATTTGGGTCAGCAAGGTGCGACTGTGGGAACCAGCTAGCTCTTGCGATGCAGCAGATCGAGTCTATTGGCCGTGGTGTGTTGGTTTACCTTCGTGGACATGAAGGAAGAGGGATTGGTTTAGGACACAAGCTTCGGGCTTACAATCTACAAGATACTGGTCGAGACACGGTTGAAGCTAATGAGGAATTAGGACTTCCTGTTGATTCTAGAGAGTATGGAATTGGTGCACAGGTATATTAAATAAACATAAAAAAAAGTCGACATATTTTCCTGCGTATTTCACTAATTCGTCTTCGATGTGTAGATACTAAGGGATTTGGGGGTGAGGACGATGAAACTGATGACGAATAATCCCGCAAAGTACGTTGGTCTGAAGGGATATGGATTAGCCATTGTGGGAAGAGTCCCTATCTTGAGTCTTATCACAAAGGAGAATAAGAGGTATTTGGAGACAAAACGGACCAAGATGGGTCACATGTATGGCTTGAAGTTCAAAGGTGATGTTGTGGAGAAGATTGATGATGCTACAACCACCGAGTCCTGAGTCCCTTACCTCGAGAAACCAGGACTAATCGAGTCGAACCAAACCGGGAAGAAATACAGATAATACTACAAAAACCAGGAAAAAAATTTGCACACAGAAGAAAGAGCAAGAAAAAGACTTTTGATCTTATTTGAGAAATTTGATTGGATTGGTTTATGTTCTTATCTAATCTTATTCGATTTATTTACAATTCTTGTGTCACGAATTTTTCAACATTGTGACTTGTTATACTCTGAATTGCGTAGTTGCATTTTGATTTGTGAAGCTGTGAAAAGAGGAAGCTTTGAAAGTGTGCATTCTCTTCATTTGCCTGATTCCTCTCATAAAGCCAAATTTTGTTTATTAGCTGTTAAACCACCTTTAAACCATAGTTAAGATTGATACAGATTACAGAGTTTATTCAAATTGAATTTTTCTTGTTTTCATACAATTTCACTTCAAGTCTCTGCAAATTCACTAGAAACTGTTTCAACTTTCAACGGTACAAAGAAAAAGCAATTGTTTTTTTTTTGGCCGTGCAAAATACTCGGTTTACAGAATTTTCTTTTTGTTTTGTTGTTGTGCCAAATATTGTATAGATTAACTTGATATTTTAAGAAATGTCAAATTTAAAACTAAAAAAAACTAACATTAAGAATCCTATGTGTCAGTTCATATAGCGATTTAAAAGACAAATCATTTAAATTAACCAATCAAAATATTTCAATTAAAATGATATGTTATTAGTTTTATAACATAAGCTCATTAATAATATTTCGACCAAAAAAAACAAAAATCAGTAATACATGTTTTACAAATCTCTATCTTAGACTTACCAATTTTTTTTTGTCGCAATAAAAATCAATTTTACACTTAAAATATATAGCATTTGTATATATTTTATACATAAAACTATTAAAACTACTGACATCTGTTTGATCAAAAAAATTTAACTTTATTATATTTATTATACACAATATATATCATTTTTGTACGTTTATAAATATTATAGATCATATGCGTTGTTATACCCGTTTAAATAAAGTTAGTTAATATATTTAATCATTTAATCTCGCGTTTACCGTGGAGGTAAAAAATCTAGTGGGTGTATATTTACAATAGGTACAACATTAGGAAAAAATATACATAAAGATATAAAAATTTAATGCAAATCTAACATAAATAAAATCAAATTTGTATAACATATAAAGATTTG